CCCTCTCTCTGTGTGTGTGTGTGTGTGTGTGTGTGTGTGTGTGTGTGTGTGTGTGTGTGTGTGTGTGTGTGTGTGTGTGTGTGTGTGTGCCTGTGTGTGTGTGGGTGGGTGTGTGGGTGTGTGTCGCAGGGGGATCGAGGAATGGCTCACAAAACAAGCTGAGCATCGGAGTACTTCGCGCGTTGTAAGAAGACGCCGTTCGTACACCGACAGCAGGTCATGTCTTACTCGCTCGCTGGGAAGCCCACCAACACACACGATTCGAGCGAAGAGAGTAGGTAGTATGAGCAGCCGGTGACAGGGACAGCAAAGAAAGGAGTGATCAGACGCGGCACCCCCTCCCCCTCCCGCTGCATTCACAACCTCCTTCCGCCTCCCACACCGTGTTTGAATCGAGCTTGGGAGCTATCACTCGTCGATCCACTCGGATCGTCCTGTGAGATTAGCTTTTCCCTCCCTGAAGTGACAGAAAACCTCCCCCTCTCTCGAAACCAATCCCCCGTCTAATGAACAATTTCGGACAAGACGACGTATCATTCAATCAATCAGTCAATCAACCAATCAATCAACCAATTAATCAATCAGTCAATCAACCAATCAATCAGCCAATCAACCAATCAACCAATCAACCAATCAACCAATCAATCAATCAATCAATCAGTCAACCAATCAATCAATCAATCAATCAACCAACCAGTCAATCAATTAATCAATCAATTAATCAATCAATCAATCAATCGATTAATAAATCAATCAATCAACGGCTTGCCTTTTAGCAATCGATATAAATGACTGAATGCAATCACACATCATCATGCCTCTCCTTCTCCTTGCCTTGGCTTGTTACAGTGATTACATTTTCTGATTGGGCTGGACTCCTTGATTTAAAAGGTGTATCCGCAGCACGCAGTTCTACTCACTGAAGGAAAAACCTGCGTCTAAATCGGCAGTCACTCGTTCACCAGCGACGACATTGCATCACCTCTCTCTCCCACAAGCTATACCCGAGCTCTCACCCATTTCCTTCTTCGATGGCACTCCCGCTCAAGGAGGATGCAGTGCCAAGACCACGTCGTTATCTTCCTGACCTCCCCGGCTACTCTGCGGCCTGCTACGGGCGTCCAATCTCTCCAAACCTTGCCCCTCTCTCTCTCTCTCTCTCTCTCTCTCTCTCTCTCTCTCTCTCTCACACACACACACACACACACACACAGAGTTTGGCACTTCGCTTTGGCTCGCGCGCATACCACTAGCGGTGCTCTGCTGCACTCTCTCCTCGTCACCCTTGATTCATCAGAGCTTCCCCACATTACCCTCGATACACCAGGACACCGGGTTCAGGACGGTGTTTGTTGTTTGCTGTATCCGCGTGCCACACGACATGGAGCTGTGTAGCGAGGCCCATAGACAACATTGGTGATGTACGCAGCAGCCCTGTTAGATCACTGCCAGACTTCCTTAGCTCTCTGTTCACGTATGGCTACCGCTGACAGACAGAAAACAGCCAGAAAACAGCCTAATCTTCTCACCCCTCGACTCCCCTCTTCCCTACCCCTGTCCGCAGCAGCCCTGTTAGATCACTGCCAGACTTCCTTAGCTCTCTGTTCACGTATGGCTACTGCTGACAGACAGAAAACAGCCTAATCTTCTCACCCCCTCGACTCCCCTCTCCCCTCCCCTACAGTTGCGTACACGTGAACCTCCCAGTTCTGCACATTATACCGCAGGCTTTGCTCAGTTCAGTTTAGTTGAGCAATATGACACTCATCTGAACGGGGCCCCGCGATGCTATGTTCGTCCTTTTGGCGAGCATGAAACTGGACGTCGTCACCGTCCTGTTCATGCTCCGTTAGCATGAACATAGCACCGGTGGGGCCTGGCCCTATGCTTCCCTTACCTCCGCTAGCACAAGGCAAAGGTCCAGGCCCAGACTACCGGTAGTGGATACCCCTGCCATATCTGACCGCACTTTCAAGGCATAATCACATAGTAGCGGCCGGATGCATACGAGTCCAACCGTAAATGTGGTGAGTACGCCCTCAGTTCACCTCAGTAGAAAAAACTCAGATGGATTTCCCGCCAATCCTACCTACCCGCCTACCTACCGGCCTTAGCTCACCCCTGAACTGTACAAATACAGACCAGAGTTGGAACTTTTTTTTTTTTTTTTTTTTTCCGAGAAAGGGAGTTCGAACTTCACTGGAAGCAGATGTGCAACATGCTACAATCCTGGCCGGTCAGTCCGAAGATCATATATCTAACGCACTATCGTTCTCGCTGCATCCGGGCTGAACGCTGGCCAAATGATCGAGTGTTTTATGATCGAATGTTCTATTCGCGGAAAGGCAGAGCAGTTAGTGCGATGATGCCCCGAAGCGGGGTGAAGCTTGGTACGCCTTGGTGGTGCTTGGTACAGCAGTCGAAGACAACAGCACAACCCGATGCCCTTGGCAACCGGGTCCCGCGTCCTTGTTGTCTTCCGAGGAGGGAGGGTTGGATGGCTTGACATACTCACCAGGGCTGCACAATGAGAACGAATCTCTCCTAGAACATGGAAAGATACGTGGCCGTAGGGCGGATTTTTTGTCGTTTGTGCATG